ATGAGTTGTAAAAAGACCCCGGGGGGAAATTGAAATCATGCTAAGAGGGGAAAATTTAGAATTACTCTGGTTGCCATGGCAGCAATATCAAAATGGAAAAAGACAGGAAACAACCCTGCTGAAGAGAGAAGAGGATGCTGTGACTTTACCTGTGAAAAGAGTTAAAGGGGAAGGGGTCAAGGTGATGATGCCGAATCGATTTTGGGTTGCGAAAAAGTTTCTGGAAGGTCAAGGTCTGCAATTCCTTAAAATATGTATTCACGTTCCATCTTATGGGAGCATAGATATTGAAAATTTTCGATGAGTATAAAATTGCGTGGAAATAAATTAAATTTCTATTTTTATTTAACGATTGAAATTTTTTACACTCATTTGTAAATGAAAAAGAGTTACAGCTAACATCGGCGCAGCCAAGAGAAGAGTTTGAGGGTCAACCCCCCCCCTCCCTTTCAGAAGTCATTCTCAGGAATTAAATCAGCTAAAGATAATCGAAAATACAGAAGAGGCTATATTATAGTTGGTCACCCATGTGGGGAGATGAGTTATCGACAATGTCAACCTTCATCTATGAAAAGGTACCCAACATACAATCGAGTTAACATGTTTTATATACTAATGAATCGGAATTGTTTTTTAGTAGTTTTAGATACTCTACAGTTAGTAAGAAAATAATGAAATAAAAATAATACAAAATTAAGCAAAATACAAAAGTTTTGCAGCATTAAAAAAATCGTGAATGTTACAGTATTTATTGTTTTAATCTTGGTGTATCTAGCAGCTACAGTTCATCGCCAATTGGATACCTGCAAGCGATTTCATCTTGCGTTTCGTTTATGCCACGTTTCAGAAGCTAATTAGGTTTGACACACACGCGTGACGTCGCTTGCAGATATTCATCAATTGAATCTGTTCTAAAAAATGATTCAGCGTGATAGTAAACTAAGTTTAATTGCTGTAGTGTTAACCAGTCAAGCACAGCAATGACATCTTAATCACATGGTTGGGCTTTATCAAGTATTCTTTTTCTCGAGTTGCAAGTTCCCCTTAGGAATAGCACGACGATGATCCAAAAAGTACACGAATTTTCCAATTATCGAAATTAATAATAACAATAATAATAAGGAAAATTAGTCAGAAAACTAGAAGAGTGCGCGGGCTGATAAAAAAAAAGTAATCAAGAAGTGAAGGTTATATACAATCCAAAATGATGCTTGTTACCATTTTTTTTAGCAAATTTGTAAAAATTGCTCTAACTAACTTTTTTCTTCATTTATTTACAGTTGTCATTTGATAAATGTAATTAAAAATAGTTTATTAAATAGTGTTTCGATTTTAATTGTTGTATGATAAAAATTAATGCGTAGAAAATTTGTAGATATTAAAATTATATAGGTTCCGTTTGGTTAATTAAAGTCCTGTAAATTAAACTAATTTACAGAATTCATATTTTATGTATATCCAAAATCATTTTTAGATTATTTTCATGTATTTATAAAATACAGAAATAAAAATGATAGTTTTTTTGCTAATTTATTAAATCAAGTTCTTTTATTAATCTATGTTTCGATAGCTTCTTTGATAAAATTAATTTTAAAAATTCTTCGTCTTATTCTATGTAAAATAATTTAATATTTATATTCATAATTTTGCGAAGACTAAAAAAAATTAAAAAGCCAATTAAATTCAATTTTAATTTACAAAAAGAATTTTCGAAAATTCCATTTATTAAATTAAAAAAATATTGATATAAAACTCGAGTTTTTCTGCCAGTTTAAACTAAGTTCTTATCATAATACATATTTCGAAGGAAAAATATTATGAAACGGAAAAGGATGAGAAGAAAAAGAGTGATTTTTATTCTTTTTTTTAATCTCGCATTACGTCATTGGTTCTGAAATCGTCATCAAACAGGTTGTAATATATTGTAATCGTTATCGTTTCTCGTTTAGAACACGTTTGTTTGTTTTGAAAAGCTGAAATGAACCGGGTACTTTAAATATGTAATAAACTTTAAGGAATTGCGGAAAAAATACTGTAATTTCAATCTTTCTAAAAATTTATCTACTTCTTATCAAGAAACATGCTTTTTACTAAAGTAATGCTTCTTCCGGTCGTAAGTTAACGGAATACATTTTCTCTTTTAAATAAAAGACTTATTCTGTTTACGCCCCGTATCTTCTTAAAGATTATATTTGCTTTTGTCGTATTTCATTCTATTTGTATTATTCCAAGCACTTTGACGAGTTATTTATGTTTTAAAAACGCTGCCAATAAATCTAGATATGAATCACTATTGGTATATTTTCATTATATGTTTACATAACCCTATTTCTTACACTTAAACAGTGGTTAAAATTATTACACAGTTTATTTGTATTTTTTTTTTTAATCGCCTGAAATTTTACTTGTTGTGAAATAATATGGGTATTAATACAGGACAGTAACGGGATGTTTATGCACAATGTTTTTCTTTTCAGTGTTTTATTTTTTGTATCAAGGGTGATCTACAGAGCCTCCCTTTTACAAAAATAAATGCATCCTTCTTGTNGTTTCGATAGCTTCTTTGATAAAATTAATTTTAAAAATTCTTCGTCTTATTCTATGTAAAATAATTTAATATTTATATTCATAATTTTGCGAAGACTAAAAAAAATTAAAAAGCCAATTAAATTCAATTTTAATTTACAAAAAGAATTTTCGAAAATTCCATTTATTAAATTAAAAAAATATTGATATAAAACTCGAGTTTTTCTGCCAGTTTAAACTAAGTTCTTATCATAATACATATTTCGAAGGAAAAATATTATGAAACGGAAAAGGATGAGAAGAAAAAGAGTGATTTTTATTCTTTTTTTTAATCTCGCATTACGTCATTGGTTCTGAAATCGTCATCAAACAGGTTGTAATATATTGTAATCGTTATCGTTTCTCGTTTAGAACACGTTTGTTTGTTTTGAAAAGCTGAAATGAACCGGGTACTTTAAATATGTAATAAACTTTAAGGAATTGCGGAAAAAATACTGTAATTTCAATCTTTCTAAAAATTTATCTGCTTCTTATCAAGAAACATGCTTTTTACTAAAGTAATGCTTCTTCCGGTCGTAAGTTAACGGAATACATTTTCTCTTTTAAATAAAAGACTTATTCTGTTTACGCCCCGTATCTTCTTAAAGATTATATTTGCTTTTGTCGTATTTCATTCTATTTGTATTATCCCAAGCACTTAGACGAGTTATTTGTGTTTTAAAAACGCTGCGAATAAATCTAGATATGAATCACTATTGGTATATTTTCATTATATGCTTGTATAACCCTATTTCTTACACTTAAACAGTGGTTAAAATTATTGCTCAGTTTGTTTGTATTTTCTTTTGTTAATCTCCTGAAATTTCACTTCTTGTAAAATAACATTGGTATTAATACAGGACAACAAGATGTTTATGTACAATGTTTTTCTTTTCAGTGTTTTTATCAAGGGTGATCCACCACTAAGCCTCCCTATTACAAAAATAAATGCATCCTTCTTGTTAATTATGCTATGCATCATTTTCTTTAATTTTAGAAAATATATAGCGCCGTTTTTAAATACCATTTCTATTTAATTTATACATAAAAAATTTAAACTATCAAACAGCTTTCTTAATAAAATAAAACTATAAAGCAAATGACTAAAGTGAATTAAACTTCTATTTCGAATTATGATAAAGACTGCAAAAGACCATTCATTTTTAGGATATTCCATATTATAATTGCCACATGGTGATCGATTAAAAATACCTTTGCTACAAAAAAAAATTGCATTGTTCAAATATTTGCTTGTTCAAAATATTGTTTTTACTATTTTAGTTATAATAATAAACTATATTGTTATTAAATATCATTATATGGGTGGATGCTTATCCATTTTCATTCCATTTATTGTCAGTACTTATCCGTAGGCGATAAAGTCATGAATAAGAAATCCGTATATTTAACTGGGTTTTTTTTAATACATATATATAAATGATAAAGGAACAGAATTTACTTACACTGGCCAAATGGAGAAATTATGCTATTTGTTTAAATGTTTTTTATATGATTATTTTTTTATTTATTAATGCTTACATTGATGGATCTGTGCTTCCTAATGCCTTATTTTGTTATTTAAAAAATGCAACTATTAATATTAATAACTTATAAATTTCACTGAAGCTTCTATTCATTTTTATGCAAAGCTAAGTGTTATCAAAGCTGAAGTTTGTCCTCCCTTAGAAAGAGTTACTATGTCCTTTCTTTTTTCTAAGGAAGTTTTTCTTTAAAAAAAATTAGTCAATGCATAATTATTACTATTTATTATAATTATTTAAAATTTGAAAAAATCAATTTATTTATTTAGAATTAAATTATGCATTAAAAATGTATGATAAAAGCTGGACTCAGAATTTATGGACCTGAGGACCATTGTGGACTCTTCCCTCAAAACTAAAATCAAGTTTTCATATTTTGTAAATTTTTCTTCGAAGTCTTTCCAAATAATAATTTACCTTTAATTCTAGAAATATCAATTTTCAGAGATGTACTACACTATTAGTTTCAAATTTTTTGTGTGATTATTTTAACTAAAAACTAGATGTTTTTTGCTTTTTATTTTTATTTCCATGTACTAAATGTCAAGAATTCTTTCCTTAAATTTGTGGAACATTATAAGCATAGATGAATATTCATACAAGAAATATACTGCAAATAAAAAATTACAAAGCATTTCACCTTTTGCAAGAAAGTTAAACTGGGCCCTGGGACAAATGTCTCTATTTTACCTGCCTTGAATACAGCCACATATATTATAATGCCTAAACTATTAATTAGTTAATTTTAGGGATAGGGATTAAAGATGCATATCAGTAGTGTGCATTTTTTAATTATATTTTTCTGTTGTTTTTTTTAATTTTTACTTTTAACGTTTTGTAATGAATGTATATTAAATTCAGTTTGATTTATATTTTTTTTGCTTTCTTTTCAAGAGTCGTACCAGTTACAGTACTAGTGAAGATGGTCATTCCCATTCTTCTGACTATGAAGAACAAGATGAAGATAAAGTAAGTATCACATCGTGTGTTTTATGGCATTTTAAAATATTTTTAATTTTTATCATAAATGCTTTATTAAATGCTTAAAATTTTTATGTTTTGATAATTCTTTGACCTGATATTTTAAATAATGCAAAAGGAATTTTAAAAAAAAATTTCCTTTTTTTTTTTNAATTTTAATAAGATAGTAAACATTTTTTAAAAATATTTACTATAATTTATAGTTGTTAATATTCTTTTAAAGCTTTCAATTATAACATAAAAATATTTTTAAATGAACTACACATTTTAAAACACAGCAACCTTCCGTAATTTTGTAACCGTAATTTTGTTAATTATAATAATTTTAATAAGATAGTAAACATTTTTTAAAAATATTTACTATAATTTATAGTTGTTAATATTCTTTTAAAGCTTTCAATTGTAACATAAAAATATTTTTAAATGAACTACACATTTTAAAAGACAGCAACCTTCGTACTATGGGACTTGTTGAAAATAAAACCTGACCTTTGGACCGCCAGCATGGGTTGGGATGAGGAATGCTAAAGTGATTGTCTGTATATTGTGATACTTCCTAAATTTTAACTTTTCATAGTCATAACATTTGTGTTGTATCTGCAAACATAGAGTAGTTTTGCATTAATTATTTATCCTAAAATGTAAACTTGTGTTTTTGATGATGTAAAAACAGAGTAGGAAAAATTTTTTCATCTTATCTGACCTAGTATTTTGCCACATTCGACTGGACAATCGGTAGCCTACAATATAATATTTAAAATATGAAACTCTATACATTTGTTCTAAGATGTAGGCACTTTTTTCTACATGCATATACACTAATTGTGGTTGATAAAGTAAATAGTATTTTTCTGATCATCTATAGTAGTAAGTAACAAAAATTTATAATCCTCATAAGTGATCTTCCTGGAAAACCAACCAAAGTAGACATCTTTCCTGGTTTTTACATTCCGATTTTTTATTGCAACAGTAAGCGGGGGCATTTTAGTGACTAGTTTAGTAAGTTCAGAATGGGAAATCGAAGTATTGATAACTTAGGTTCTATTTTATGTATACCAAAAAGTGGGGGAAAAAATAAAAATTTACTTTCTAATAATCTAACAAAAGTCTCTGCTGTATAAAAAGAGAGTGAAGGAATTTTAAATTAATAATGTAGCCTTTTTTATTTTGCTGATTTTCATAGCTGTTTAATTTATAGTTAATTTCACCTCATCACCATTTGTTAAAGATTGTATTGTAAGAACTGACCTTTTTTCCCTTTCTAAATTTTTTTTTTTTGCATAAACACAACTCTATTTAACCATTTACTGACGGATTATTTTTACTATTAAATGTGGTGCACATGTTGTACCAGCTGTAAGCAAGTGGTTAAATTTAAACTATCCACTTTTATTCAGCCATTTCATAGCACTTTCTCTCAAACTTCAGAGGTATTCTGTAATCTGATATTTCCTTAAATAATTACCATTATATCTTAATAGTTACTATTATATCTTTAAGTGATTATCTTAAATAAAATATGTAAGAAGCATACTTCCCCACTGTATGCATGAGTACCCCATTAGTGCACCACATTACGCATCTCATTACACACCTCCTAACCCATTGGCTAAAACAGCTGTTAGATGTTCATAGTTCTTCCCGGGGAGCAAATCTGATTGAAGGCTTACGAAGCAGGTGGCCTCTTGTGTGTTAATCTTTTTTCCTACTGTCTTGTATTTGCTAATAAATGTTATATTAATTTAGTTATGGAGTTTGCCTTTTCCCATATGTATTATATCTATTTTTTTTAATGTTATTGCAGAAAGTAGAAGCTCGTTTTTATAGAGATTCTAGAGAAAGGACCTCTTCCTCTTGGGCTGGTCGTGTCCGAGATTTACATAGAGATGTCAAAAAGAAAATATCAAGACTACGAAATTCAAGAGGTGCTACTCAAGATGAAGAGGTAATTATTCTTTTTTTTTTATTTTGTGTTGTATTCAGTATTGTCTTTTTTATATTTAATTGCTATTATATCTTTGTAGTTTTGACAGTATTTTTAAAATAGAGCACGTCAAAGCTCAATTTAAATTATGTCATTTTAACTTCTTTTTTTAAAACTGCAAAATTCAGCATATTTATTTATTACAGTAATCTCTGTTTAATATGATCACTTTGGGGTATAATGTTTTTGATAACCAACATATTGATATCAATAAATTCATTCATTCATCAACAGTCCTGGGTGAACCTTGGGTTTCTCGAGAAGACGAGACCAGTCCTACTTTCTGTGCCATCCAGTCTCTGGCATTAGTTGAGACAGGGTATCCGTGCACCTGGAAAGTCATGAATTTTGGTATTGAACAAAATTTGTCATGAAATGTCATGATTTTAACTATTTTTTTAAAAAAACCATGGAAAGTCATGCATTTAGGTCACCCAAAAATTTTAGCTTTAAAATGGAATCCCCCCCCCCCAATTTCATAGTGTTCTGATTATCTGAATTTGTAACAAAATCCCCTCTCAGAGTAATATTTTATTAAAATATATAATTTTTTTATCATGTTCTTTAAAAATTATGGTGTTCTTTCAAAAAATGAAAGAAAAGCATCATTTCTAGAGTGAAGTATCTTTTAAACTTCTGTGATTTTAGAATTTTTGTTATTAATTTTTTATATTTTTTATTTTACCAATTTAAAATTCTAGCTGAAGCAAGCCAATCATTGGCAAATTTTTTTAAATTCTGAAACAAGAACAGACAAGTCAGGAGTATTTCTTACCTTTCTGATGAACAAGAAAAGTATCTTTAGAACATAATTCTGCCGTAAAAAAAAAAAAAAAATTATTTGCTCAGCTATTATTTTTTCAGCTATTTTATTGCTTCAACTCTTTGTTTACTCTGCTTTTTAATTTTAAAAATCAATAAATATGAAGATGCAGAGTATAACAGTTTTGGTAATACCTATCATTTCAATTAACATTTTTATAATGCTTTTTAAATTTATTATTCTGTTTTTGTCGGTAAATAGTTAAGTCATGAAAAGTTCTTGAAAAGTCATGAATTTGAAAATCTAAAATATAGCAGATACCCTGTTGAGACAAAGTCACTTTGGAGGCTGTGCAACATCTTCAATCTGGGTCTGCCTCTTCTTCTAACTCTTATTGGCTTTGCCAGAAAGATTTATTTCGTCGTTCGATGATCATTCATTCTTAAAATGTGTCCGATCCATTTCATACATTGGACCTTATGTCCAGTTCTCTGAATGACCCGTAAAGTTCAGGGTTAGTTCTTCGCTAAGTTCCATTACTACAAAAGCCATCAAAAATAGATCCGATAATCTTGCTTACAAAAATTGCGAGAGTTCTCGTATCAGCCTGGAATTAAGTTCACATTTCAGATGCATATGTGAGAATTGCCCTGATGAAACTTTTAAATATCAGCAACTTGGTATTCCGTTTTATGTTGTCAGACTTCAGAAATTTTCTTCGACCCTAAAGGCATCCGTTGATTGCAGTTATTCTCTTCCTTACTTCTGTGGACAAGAGATTCTCGGTGTTGAATTCAGAGCCAATGTAGATAAATGGATTCACGTTTTCAAATTTGTATTCTCCAATCTCAATGTGTTTGGATGTATCAGTGTAGGTAATAAATTGCATATACTTATTTTTGCTCTGATTAATTGAGTGGTTCATTTTCTTAGCCTCTCTTTTCTGATCCAGGAGCACTTGCTTGTAGTCTTTTAGATGAACCCATAAATAATAGGACAATAAATGAATCACAAAATTAGATAAATTTACCAATTTAAGCCACTCATACCGAGTTGGTAAATAAAATGAGAACAAAAAACTATATAAATCCTTATTTTTATGCGTTATATATTTCCTTTCAATTATAAAAATTATGTATAGTTAAAAAGTATCATAAATTGTAGATAGACTTTTCCTAACAAGCGCATCTCTAAATTGTTTGTAATCATAATTTTTATTGAAATAATTGGATCTGTATTGTACTTCACAATTCAACACTTTAACTGCATGCATCATTTTTAATAGTCTGGTATAAAAATTTAAGATGTCTGTCTTATGTTTTAAAGTGAAACCACTTCGCTTTCTGCTATCTATATTGTCAAATTCTACGTAAGTGACATAAAATGGCAACATGCTGATTCTCAGTTCAAATAATATATTGCTCTTCTGAGACATGAACATAATTATGATATGGCATTAACAGCCAATTTCAATGCTCCTCTTCAACATGGAGATAATTTTGAAGAAAAACACTGATAACATTTAATGATATCCCATAAAGTCATTATTTTAACAAGCAAATGAATGGCTGATTTACTTTAATATCAATAAGCAATTAATAACACCTTTTTTTTTAATGTATTTACTTGTTGTTTTATTTTTAAAAAAATAAAGAGTTTTTTTACAAGAATAATAAACTTAATTGAATGTACTCAAATGACAATATACTCAAAAAGTGAATGAATTGGTATAAATTACTTCATTATAATATGTAATGAAATGTATTAAACACTTTTAATGAAATAGAAGAAAAAATTTGTCATTTCGTTTTTATGAATTTTAATTTGTGTTGCCTATTTTTTAGTATAATTAAGATAATGTTGATTTCTGTTCAAGCTTCTTTAGTATGCTTTAAAAGGAATTTTATCAATACTGTGATGCATTTGAATAGATTTTTTAATTTGGTGGATAGCATTTCAAGTAGAATAGTTGAGATGTTTTTAAAATCTTTTGACATTTTTCAGGTTTCTATCTAGATTGAGAACATTTAAAAATAATTTTACATTGAAACTTATGGTATACAATAATTACTTATAGGTTACTTTAGTTTTTGTTTTTAACATTTGTTATTTAATTAAAGCTTTATGAGTGATATTTGAGAACTAATAACTTTTAAAATGTGTTAAATTATTAATCTAAATGAATGTATTTTATGAATATTAATTTGATTTGTGAGATATTCTCAGCTTTAACCTATGGTTTATCAAATTATGCAAATGTCCTTTTACAAATCAAAGAGAACTTTTACTTTGCATAGCAATAGAACTGAAGAGAAAGAGTTTAGAACTCAAAAATCTTTTTTATATAAAACTTAAATGCTGAAAAATGTATTCTTATTCTTTATTAATGCAAGTTTCAGCTGTATTGTATCACTATCTACTTTCATAACCATGTCGCTTTTTTTATGGTGCTATTCTCTATTATATACTCTAATCTTTGATATTGGGGGTAAAATTATAAGAGGGTGTAAATTGATCATCCTCCTTTAATTTTTAATTCTCATAAAATTTTGTATCATGTCTCTAAAAAATGTATGGAAGTTAACTGAATTATCAGTGTTTATACCCTCAGGCAAAACCTGGAAACCTCAGGGAATTCGAAAATCTACTTAATAATTCAAATTACTATCAGGGAAATGAATATTTTTTGTTAAAAATCTGTAATTAAAAAAAAGCTTTTCTTTCTTTTCTGATAAAAATTTTTAAAAATTCTCAAAAATCATAAGATTTTTTAGAAACAACTAGATACTTTATGTGTTTGGTTGCTTGTGGTTGCAGATACTTAAAGGAGCGATAGTAATTTTGAATTGATCTGTTTTAACTTTTGTTTCTGCATTCTTTTAATGTTTTATCGGTGTGTTTTATACGCCAATGTTATTATCATGTATTTACTAACTCATACTGCATATGCTACAAATTGTAGCTTTGGAGACTCTGGAAATCTTTTCCAGTGATTGAATATAGTGTGTTTATGATTGAGTTTCCAGTAATTGAGTTACATTTAATATAATTAAAACAGAATTTCTTTTGTTAACTTAAATTATATTAAATGTAACTTTTAACAAGACATCTACCTGATTTAATTTATTTTAACTTACTTAGAACAAAAACATAACATTTTGTTATTGTGAAGTAAAACAATTGAAACATTTAATTATGAGATGTATAAATAAATCTACACACAGAACATATATGCATTTTTTTTCTTCTAAAATAATTAGAAATGTGTATATTATGTTCATAGAATAAGAGTTATATCTGCAAATATTTGATGTTATGAAATATTGTAGCAAGAAGAAGGGGCGGAGAATTCTGATGTTGTCATTCAACCTGGGAGCTCTGTAGAAAGTATTCCAAGTGGATCTGGTTCAAGTAAGATCGCTACTTTTTTTCCTTCTGTTATTCAACTTTTTGCTTTAATCATCACACTGTTAGCATTTTCATGTGGGAGCATATCTAATTATGATAAATTAATGCATACACAATAGTTTAATTTCAGAAATTTTGCATTTTAATATTTCTTCTTATTTTGGTTATAAAAACCATTTTCTTTTTGTAACATTGACATACAATTTAGGTTTTAAAAACTTTTTTTTTATTTTAAATTAATTTTAAGTGAAGTGTGTAAAAAATTTAGATATATAAATGAAGTATAAGGTGTGGAAACATTTTAGAAATAAATTATTTAATAATTAAATTTTTGTGCACAAATGGCTGACTTTAAAGTTATTGAGTCTTTTTTAAATTGTTTTTAGCAACATGTTTTGCACTTATTTAAATTCATATTATTATTATTTAATTAATAATTGACTCACTTTTAGCAGAAATGATAAAATGATCTCTACTAATCCTAAGTATTAGTTAAAAGTCTAAATTTTTTTTTTAAAATGAATAAATTAATCAATTTTTAACAATTGAGTGAGTATAGTGTTTTAAACACAACAGAGACTACATAATGAGATTATCAAGCAAAAGAAGCATTAAATCTTTGAAACTGATCAATTCAATCTCAAAAGTATTACTAATTGTATTTTGAATTGGCAATTTCAATTATTGTTAGGTCTTTGATGATATTGGTAAGAATGCAGCCTATTCTACATTTATGCAGTGAAAGCATCAAATGTAAAATTTTTACTAGATTAATATCTAAATATAATACTGATTTTAAAAGTTCACACAATATTAATCTATCTCTGGAGAGAATTAACTCATATATAATTTCCTAAATAAATATTTTAATTTCAAAGAACTTTATTTTTAATTGACTGAAAAATAGTTAAGTTTTTCTGCCAATTAAAAATAAATTTTTCCTGCAACTTAAAATGACAATATTTATTATTAAGGAAAATATTTGAATTAATTCTGTCAAGGGATATTTTAATATTGTTTGTATTTTTAAGATAAGTATTATATAAATCTTGTTTAAATTAAACTTTACATTTTGAATTTAATATATAGTTAACAATTTAAAGAAGAAGTTTTAATTAACTGAAAGAGGGTTTCATTTTAAATTATAAATTAATAAAGTAGTTTAAGTGATGACATATTTCTGTCTGTGGATAACAAAACATGGTTCATAATTTTTTGTTAAATAAATGCTTTATTTTTGGAAAGAACAAAGAAGAATGTTTAAGTTTCGTTATACAATTTTTGAAATATAGAAAATCCTTAATAATTTTATAAATAAAAAGTTTAAGAAAAACCAATGATTTAAGAAAAAAAAAGCATGAAAAATTAAATCAAAATAAATCACCTTGATATACAAAATATAATACCGCAATCCAAACCTATTGCACCAATACAAAATCACAAATTGATTGAATACAACTAATTGCTTATTTCCAAAGGGATTAATTGATAAGTTCTTTTAATTGTCAATGAACATTTCAATTCTTTTTCATAATGATGAGAAGAATAAGGATCAAAATGTAACTATCGGTTGTAAACTATCTCAAATATGTTGCAAAATAAATAATGCAGCAATAAATAATTTCAGTTAAAAAGGTAATTATTCATTTAAAATAAAAGCCAGCATGAAAGAGCCTTTATATGAGTGTCCCAGGGACTCAGAAACAGAATAACCATCAACAGAATAACCATCAAACAGAATAACCATCAACAAAATGAGTCTCCCCCTAATCATGTCCCTGAAAATATACTATATCATAGCCCAAGAAATTCTAGATAATTCTCTGTTTGGGGCTATTTTTGACTTGAAATTATACAAAGTGGTTCCATCGAAACCTGATGTTTGAAAAAAATTATAGATGGAAGTTTAAAAGACCCTAGATAATATGGAAGTAATTTAAAGATCGAGCAGAGGACATTTTTATGCAATATAAGATAGTCTGCTTTGTGGAACATGAGGGATGCAATTTTCATTTGTGAAGAACGTTTATTGCTTTTTAAAAGAAGGCATAAAGGGGAATTAAGTAGAAATGACTAACCTTTTGTAAATGTATGCAGCTCCCTTTCTTCTTAATCTCATAATAAATTGTTTTTTACGTAAAAAAAATTTTGATTTTGGTGAAGTAAAACAAAAATATTTTTTCCCTGAAAAAATTGGTTCTTATTTCCTCATTTTTGAAAGGAAGTGGATCCTCAATTGGGGAGGTTCAAACCCCTAACACTTCCCCTTTGCGCACACCACTTGCAAGGAGAGTTAAAACTGTGAATGTTGAAGACTCATTTTTTAAAAATATTTTCTCTATTGTTACAATTTACAGTACCTGTAATTAATGTATTTAATTTTAACATTTAGGCCTACAACCTCCGACCCCGACGAGTAGCAACCGCAGTTCGACATCTGCTGGAGAGGATGACCACAACTCCTACGTCGGGACGTTTATTGGGAAAGCTCGTGCACTTGTTGATTGTACTCCTAGCCCCTATGATAGAGATGGTCTAGCTTTTAAAGTAAGTCACTCTTAATGCTTCCGTAAAAAAATTTTTATACTAAATGCAAATTTTATTTCCTTCAAAGATTTATGTCTTGAATGCATGTAGCACATTAACTTTGCTATGTAAATTAATTTTTTAAATGTATTGCATTCTCAAAGTTATATTATTTTTGTATTTTTTCATTATGCTGACTTAACTGTTCTGATTATGTGCTGACTTATCTTTTTCATACAATTTCACTACATCTTTCTCATGGCATTATCTGAGAGGGTAATCTTTCTAAAATTTTCTTATTAAAATTATTGCAATTTTAGATAATGTTTGCAGTTATTTTTAAATATTTGAAAAAAATTACAATATTTTATAAACTATTTTTAAGTTTTGTATATAAAAAGATTAAAATTTAAATAATTAAAGGCTAAAAATTTTATGCCTTTTTTTATAGTTCAACTTTTAAAAAATGCTTCAATAAAACAAATTATTAGAAAATGTGAAATTAGCTTAACTATAATAATCATTTACTTATTTTTAAATTATTTTAGGATGCATTTAATACTTTCATGAGAACTTAAGGTTATTTTTTTGAACTGAAAAGATTTATAAGTGATTAATCATAAACAGTCTTTTGTTTGAAATTCTTTACAATTTTGGGAATTATTTGATATGTAGGTGTACTAATGTATGAGTATACTGTAAATTTGTATAATATGACCAGATAGTATGAAGGAATTATATGTTTTATACTACAATTGATAGATCACTTGATAACTTTTAAATTTTTTCTAGGTTTTATTAGTGTTTTTGTTTAACAATAGTATTTTCAGGTTTTCTTTACTGCTGCACTGTGTTGTTGCATGTATTTTTTTTTTAAATTAATGTGTTTCTTTAAAAAAATTTTTTTTTACCGCTATTGAACAATTGACCCGATTCTGCGTGTACGACCACCAATGTTCAACTATGTAGCCTTGTAATTTTTTACCCAATCCAGAAGGCAAAGGAACTTTTGGATCAAATATTAGGAGAAATTAGCCTTCGTGGAGGATATATTCGATGGAATTAACCCTCAATTACATGACACGGAGAGGAAAACCTTGAAAATCTCCCACGGTTAGCCTAATTGCAATGGGACTCTAACCCATGATCTGTCTACCACTGAGGATATTTAGAATTATTGTTTGATGTAATCAGGAGGAACTGGAGAAATTAAGTATGATTTCTGTATAATGCTTTCTTAAAAAGATAATAAACAACTTAGACTTAATGCTAAATCAAACAATGCTAAGATTTCAAAACGTTGGAAACAAGTGTTTAAAATTATTCCAATAAGTGTTTTTGTGACATTGTTTGAATAAAAGCAATTTTCTTACCAATTCTTTGCCAAACGTAGACATATTGGTTGATTATCTTTGAAGTAATCCCCGACTGTATTGATATTGAATTATCAGTAATCACTGTACTTCTCCTAATTTTGTTTTACATTTGTTTTATACTAATTTTTAAAAGTTTAGTGTAAATTTGTTACTTCTATTTTTACTACGTAATGAAAAGATATTTCATTGTTTTTCAGAAAGGCGATATTATTGATATCATTGCTAAGCACAAAACTGGTATTTGGGTTGGTATGGCTCAAGGAAAAGTTGGCCATTTCAAGTTCATAAACGTAGAGGAAGTGGTGGAGGAGCGAAAGTGCAAACACAGGCGCCGAAAGAATAACATTGATTGGTTAAACCTGCCAAAAAAGCCTGAAACTTTGGAAGAACTCTTAAAGCAGATTGGATTAGAGGTTTTAATTCATTTTTTGTTAATTAAATTATTCACGATTTGAAAAAGTAATTATTATTTGCTTAAAAATGAGTTAATTATTTGTTGACATAGTTTTGAGAAAAGGTTTGTTCTTTTTTATAAAATTATTTTAGAGAGTGTTCTATTTTATGAATGTGTTAATATTTTTATTTGTGCTCAGTTTTACATTATACTGTAATAAATTTTTAAAACTATGATTAGTGTATTCAAAGCACTTTAGAGATAAAAATCTCTTTTTTTTAAGTATGCTTTATTTCTATTATACTAAAATATAAAAATATTAGCCATAATTTTTTTTCTGTTCATTTTAATTTCTGTAATCTTTTTTTTTATGTACAGCAAAATGTACTCACCCGCCTCATTTGGGGGTTAATCTTGAAATTTTGCATCTTCTTTACCTTGTATTTCTGATTTACTCATCAATTATCATAAATTGCTTTTTAGCATCCAAATTTGATTCAATATAATTTTTTTTAATTTAATTTGTACACTTTCTATTGTAATTTATTTTTTGATAATTGTTTTTTTTTTAAATCAGCTGTAAGATATCTTTACATTTACATTGTTTTTGTTTTTTAACTTTTTATTCTTAGTGTCATCTCAAAGCATTATGGTAGAATCTTAAATCTTGTTATGTTGAATTTGAAGTTGTTCCGTTAATATTTTTTTAATCAATGACTCTGTTAATATTGTAAAAAAAAACTCCAAGCTTACCTATCAGAGCACTGTGCCAATTTTCATTTTTCCCGACATATATTCTAATAAGTCTCATTTATTTTTTATGCCTTGGCTAAGTTTAATTTTTGTTACTCCAAACTAAAACTTTTTCACACAGAATTAAATTCTAAAAATGATATTTATTTCAATATTCATAACAAATAAGCTAATGGACGATAATTTATCAGTACTTGAAATCATAATTATTTGTTAACAAGTAATGGAATAAATAATCTGTTAAAAAGTGAGTGTATTTAGAAAAATGTAATATTAAGTGTTAAAAAAATTAACTGAAAAAAGCTGAATAATCTTTTTTATTTATCCTTTATATTGGACATTTATTTTTATGTATATATTTTGTCTGTTTCAAACATTGTTATTTGACTATTATTTGTGTTCAGTAGTTGGTATTTTTTTATTTGCTTAAACCCCTAAAACAAAGTCATAAATCTATGTTAAAGCAAATAATAAATTAGTTAATTAGCAGTTTTGTATAATCAAATGAGAGCTAAAAAGAAAAATTAACTTCAGTTGGGAGGGTCATACTTAACTGTTAAATCACATTGTTTGCAGTCCCTGAAACCTAGTAATTTGAAAGACATCACATTATTCAGAACTTTTATGCTGTAATATTATCATCAAAATTGTTATGTATATTATGAAAACATAACAATAAGAAAATCACCTTTAAAAAAATTTTCTTACAAAATTAATTTGAAAATTAAATAAACAATTGTTCTACTTATTATTGGGCAAATAATAATGCAAAGTCAGTTAAATTCTGTTGTAAAGCATTATTTTGAATCTCAGAATGAAAATTCTTATTGGAATGGAATCAGTTGATGTATAAATGCATCAGTTTCATAATCAAAATTAAGTCTTTTATGTGTTTGCTGTAGTGTTGTAAAATTAATAGATCGATTTTAGCTAGTTTTTTCACTATATTATGTGTGTTACTCATGTATATTAAGTCTTTGAATTATGAGGCAGTTTTAAGATTTACTGTATTATGCTTGTAATTTTTGAAAACTAAATTACTAAGCATTTTTCTTTTCTTTTTTTTTTTTTTATCTTCAGCACGCAGAATAAATTTTTTAAGAACCTAATTTTTAAACTGCTTTGAGAAAAGTGTGGAAGGAAAACAAACTTATTAGTCATTGAACAAGAGAACTGATATAATGTATATTAGGTGTATCAAAGTTGAAAAGGCATATTGAATACTGTGTAGCATTGGTTCTTGCTCTGCAGATTAATATTTGAATTATAATAATTATAAATTTTATTTATATTGCGATAGGTTAAGACTCAAAATATTTTTTATTTTAGAGAGTTTGTGAAGGATCAGAAGCAAACTGGTAAACATTTTAAGTGTCTTGATTTTAAAATTAGGCCAATAGTCTAAATTACTAACCCTACCGGTCCATGATAAAACACTGAACAATTTTACCGGTCTTTCGAGTGAATCGGATTGAGAAACACTGCTCAATGGAATTATTTGATACTAAATTTATGTGTCATCTTATATATTGTAATATTATGCTCTAAGTGTAATATTTATTTCATAGGAGTATACCAATGTTCTGGTTCTAAATGGATATGATGAATTAGATACATTTAAAGAAATTGAAAAAGTAGACTTAGATAGTTTGGGCATCCTGAACCCTGAACACAGCTCTAAACTTTTAAGAGCAGCAGAAATTTTACAGGATGTAGACCTAGATATTGAAGGTATGTTTAGTTTTATTTAATAATTATCAATATAATATCAAAATGTTTAAAATCTTTGTGTGCAATTTTATCCATATACAGTCGAACATCATAAACACAAAACTGTTTAACTTGAAATATCACTTTATATGAAACTTATGTTCAGTCCCGTGAGTCAGCAATCAATTATTGTTATATTTTACATGTTAAACATGAAATTTTCAAGCTGATTATTGCTTAACATGAAAGGAAACTGGAGGCATAATGGATAATAAGCATGTGAATAAAATCCCAGTCATTCAAATATGAGGAATGCAATTTCTATTTTCTTCCATTGTTAGAAATAGCAGATAGGCAAATAAATAAAATTGTTTAAACTTTTAGCTTGTTTTGTTTGGTTCACAATATAATTGTTTACATACATTAATCTAGAACATATATTAATAGTATGTAATAAAATGTTTACATGATGTATCTAATAAAACAAAATTCGGTTGTCAGGAAATAATTATGATAGTCCTGCCAATTTTGTATTAACAATGTTCGTCTGTATATATATTTCAAATACTTAATGTATGTAAATAAATTTTAAAAAGAAGTTTCATATTTTGAACTTTTAAGAGCCATGTATTAGTTTTTACATTTGATTTTCTTTATTAAATCTATGTAGTTTGATGTTTTTTATTACACAATAATTTTGAATTGCAAATTTATAATTTGTGATTGTATATTAAAAACTGTATTTTAAAAAAGTACCATAATTACAAAAGTTTAAGATTGTTACATCAAATAATAATTGTTTTTTAATTATTTCATGACTCTCCGAGATAATTGCATTTCAATAGCCGTATATTGTCTATTTTGTTTCTGACTGCTATTGTAGGGAGAAACAAGATTGACACAGTGTGCAGTTCTCTTAATAAAAAACGTGTAGGATATCAATGTATGTTATAAAAAGTTATTCTCTTTCAGAACATATCTTACAAATTTTATGATTGCCCTTAACAAAAATACTTCATTCATTTTTTACAATTGTTTGATTAAAAATTAAATTTTTAAAAAAAATTTCTTGAATGTTTTTTCAAAATTTTTAATTTGATAATACAGTTATTTTTTCTTTTTTAGAAATAAAAAAATGTATTTTTTTATCATAAAATTACCTTTTGTGTTTCAAAATTTTGAATTTTTACCAACAGAAATTTTTTTATTATGCTTAAAGATGGAATAAAATATTTGAATTATGAAATCAAAATTAAAACTAATTAAAGAGACAAAGATTTTCATAAAATTGTGTTGTATGAAATTTAAAAATCTTTCTTGTCTTACTTATTTTTAAAATCAAGTTGTGATGAACATTGTAACAGTTATATAAGGGTTATAAATTATAATTATTGTTATAATTTGAAATTAAAATATAAAAATATTGAAGGAAGAAATTCTCAGGCAGCAGTTCTCAGAAATAACATTTTCTTATTATGCCGAAAATACTTTCTAATGAACTGGTTATTTATAAATCTGAATTAAAAACTTAACGGTTCTAAAAGTTATAAACATTAAATAATACTGTTTTTAAGTAATTTGTTAAAGAATAATTATTATGCTACCTTTATAGAAATTATATTAGTGTTCTTTGAATTCAATATACATCTATAATATAAAGTAAATAAATATAAAATACACTATTTTGTTTCGATGAATCAAAGTACTTTGTGCTTATTTAATACGTGAAAAATACTTTTCATTTCCATACCAGTTTTTAAAAAATTTTCTAGAATGTTATTTAAATAAAATTATATTTATGTTAATTCATTTTATAATTTAGTAGTAGCCTTTCAAGTTATTCTAAGGCATTATTCTGAAATCTATTTACAAACTTATGATTTTTGTAATTTTTTTTTCTATATTCTTCTATTAATTAATATGTTGAACAACCCACATTTTTAAGGAACTCCTCGCCAGACCACTCACTCTGTTTAAAAGTGCTTGTATTGTTGTATAGCAGTGCAAAGTGTACTACTTACAGATTTAAATAAATAAAAATTTCAGTTATAATCTAAAGTTAAATAAAATAATTCTTAAATACATATTCTAAGCAATGTAGATGTTTTTAATTTTATATCATATTTTACTCTCTCAGTCATAGATGACTGGCATGGTTTAAATTCAAAGTTCAGTGTCAGTCATTGATGTGGCACTAAACATGCTAAAAACTGATTATTAATTTATAAAATTATTAATTTTTTTATTATTCTTCCAGAAGACCTGGAGGATGAATCACAAATAAAACAGTCTCCAAGAGACTCTGGTTGCTACGCAAGTCACGAGAACCTAATCCAACAAGACTCCTCTCAAAGAGCTTTAAACAATGGCCAGTTTACCGTCGACCTCGAAGATCAAGATACTAGTCACTCGGAGAGCGGCACTCACTCGAGAGAGGGACCGGACTCTACTCTAGCCATGAATAATCTTGACCTCAGTGGTGAATCCGTTACAAAGTCCATGCCATCCACCGTGGACGACGTTACTGCAGTGACCAGTACAAATGAACATTCTGAAGAACACATAAATTATAACATTCTTCCTCTTCAAAAGATTGTCAACAATGAAGAGGGAAGAACAACAAACAATAGTGTTGTTGACACTTCCTTACCCAAAAGCGAACCAGGTCCTTTAAGTGTTCCTTATTTCTTGTCAACATCTGGTACTAAGTCATCCCCAGGTTCTCCCAGGAAGGTCAGGAACAAGCATAATCGTCACAAGTCCCATTCACATAAAAATAAGGACTTTCTTAGTGAATTTTCCTACAATAGTTACACGTACAATATTTCTAGATGTCGGCAGATATCGGCCGAAGCGTATCCCGAAAGAGGGGGCTATGTCTACGCGTGGACTTCTTTCTCGAGGACGGACAATAAATCTTCGAGAAGGAATCTGCACGAATACGATGACATTGTGAGTGATCCTGCAACAGAGGCGGAAGATTCTCCCGGAAGGCACGTTTATAGGAGAGTTAAGCAGAGGAAGGGTAGTCTGCAGACTTTGATCCATGACACAAGGTCACCCTCACCCACTCTTATTTCAAAAGTGAATAAAAAACTAGTTGCTGAAAAAATTTACCTATATGAAGAGCCTTATACTGATAAGGTCAGTTTTTACATTTGAAATAATACAAGTTCTCGAAGTTTTTATTATAAATGGTTTATTTGTTATTTCATTAATTGATTTATTTTTATTTTATTTAAAAGTGTATTTTAAAAATCTTTTCATTAACCATTGAATCTAATGATTATGCTTATTATATTTTTATTTAGTTAAGAATAGTGCATTCAATGCACTTTCAACACTTTTTTTTTTACATTTTATTATAAAGTTTTTTTTTTATTTTATTGGATTGCTGTTGCCACTTGATCTAACTGCCTGCCATTTGTTTTATAAATATTAGTTAAATTTAACTTGCTTATTTATAGTTTCCCTTTATTTGAAACATAATTATTGGCATTCTTATTTATAACCACAAAAGATTTATTTATCAAATAATTAAAATATTAAACTAAATATAGAGAGTGTAAAAACACTTAATTAAAAATCATTATCTCAGTATATAAATATATAATGTATACTTGACTTTTTCGTAATTTTTTTAAATGCAAATTATTTATATATTTGCATGTTTTACTCCTGTTTTTTCTGCTTAGCGACTGTAAAACTCAAATGTAATTTAACTCTTAAATTTCATAAATTTCTTTTAAAAAATGACTCAGTGGTAACGCTTTGCTCTGTTGTGCCACAGGTCCTTGGTTTGATCCTCGGGCCGTGCAAGGTTGACTCAGCCTTTCATCCCTTCAAGGGGTCTATAAAATGAGTACCAAGCGTGCTTGGGAACTAAACATTGGGGGTTCCACGTTGGGCTGATCACCCAACCGGAATATCTGCTCTAGTACCCCAGAGCCCAAAGGTCAATATTCAAAATTGAGTATGGGCTGTATCGCCACTGAGTTTAGTTTAGTAAAAGTGCTGTTGAAGAATAATAACAATTGTAAGATAAACGCATGAAGATGTTTAATCACGTTTGAATCAATGAAAGTCACATTTTCTGTTTTTAAGTAATTAACTGTTTTTCGTCCAGTAATTGTAATTTTTTTTGTCGTTGTGCAGGAAAGACAGTGCCTTTTGCAGTTTTGAGCCAGTAATTTAAAACTATACATTTGTCAGTTTTTAAAATTAGTCCGTTTTTAAAATTTTTATGACAGTTTAAACTAATGTAAACTTATTCTAAAAAATTTTTATATTCTAATTTCTTCCTGGGTAATCTGTATTATTATGATTCTAATAAATTCTTATTATGTAAATTGCTCAAAAACAAAGATGTTTTTCCAAAACTCAAAAACAGGGAAACATATACTGTTTAACTGGCTTTCAGAAATTGCTGATTGCAGAACAGAATTAATACTATTTTCTCAGAAAAAATTTTTAAAAAATTCTAAATTACTGCACGATTTATATCTAAAATTCTGATTAACCTTTAATTTTTCCTGTATCGTATTATACTGCTGAATAAAGTAAATATCCTTCATCAGTTTCTTTGTGAAAATTAAACTAAAAGGATATTTAGAATATCCCTTTGACAGTTGAGTTCGAACAAGAGTAGAGAGACTTCTTAAAAATCTTACAAATTGCTATGTGACTGAAAAAAAGTTCAGTGAAAAGTTATTATTTTTTTTTTACAGAAATCTACTATTGAATAATCAATAGTTTCATATTATTTTTCTCTTATAATTTCTTACAAATAACTCTAATGATTAAATAAAATATGTGGAAAAAGATTAAAATTGTACCGTACATTAAGAAATATGTTGTATGGAGTTAAGCTTTGTGGAATTTTCAGAACTCAAAGTGAAGCATTTTAAAGTAGTGAAAAAAAAGTAAAGCTCTTAAAATTTCTGCTTAATTCAACTGTATCAAACTGATCAAAATTTTAATATTGATTAAATACAGATTAGATTTACTTTTTTTTTAGCAATGACTGTTAGCATGATAGTATAATACGAGACTTTTCCATTATCATTTATATTTTTTTACTTAATAACATATTTGTATGTTTTAGACTGGATTTTGTGGCATTCCTCCAGCTTTAGTCCAAAGGTATTCAGAAGAGCTTCAACATAGTATAGTTGATGTAGCAGATGCTTTAGATCAAATTAGAATAACAGCTTTACAGCAGCAATCTCGACGAGGAGTATGTCTCTTTTCTATTAATTACTTCATTTAGTTTTTTTTCCCTTCTCATTTTATTTTTGCTGTGTTGGTTATCTATAGCGAATTACATTATGGTGAAAAAGAATTGTAAAAATGTTGTTAATTTTTTTATTATTATTATGATTTTTTTTTGGGGGGGGGGACATAAACCTGGGTAATCTGTTTTCACCGCTTTTTTACATATATTTTTGAGTTCTTTGTCAAAAAAGTATACAAATTAGACTGCGCAAATTAGTATTTTAGCAAAGACAGGTTTTTAAAACCTGCTGGCCGAGTACCGAATAGCAGCCAAATTTTCTTAATTTCGATAATTGAGAGCTTCTGTAACAGATAAATAACTAGAACATGTGCCATTTTAAAATCTTGAAATGAATGTAATGTTATGTTTTCTTAGTGCATATATGTTCTTATGAATAGTTTAGAAATTATTTATGATAAATAATTGACATGCATAACTAACGAAACAGGCATGTCTGTATTTTAGACAAATCAATTTACTGTTAATTTAATATATGTTACATTTTATTTATTTCTGTAGTTAAACTCATATATTGAAGTATATGTGGTATTTATTGAAGAAAATTTAAAAATGATAATTGTGTTAAAAAATGTAAAGATATCTATCTTTATTTTGATTGCTAACATCTAAAATAGCCCAAGTAAAGTGAATAACACAACCAACATAAACATGGTATGTATGAAAAAGCATAAGATATGGCATAAAAAAACTATTAACAATATGACAAAACAGCAAAAATAATGCACCCTCTTCTAAGTTGACCACTAAAGCTAAGCACCACAAGTGGTCAACTTATACAGGTTTCACTGTGGTTTTCTAGTTCATGAATATTCTTTAAGATAATAAAATTAAAAATTGAAGATGAGATAAAAATTTTTGTAAAGATGTTTTTATATGTACTTATGGAATATCTTTTTTCTCAGAATGGTTTATCTTATAACATTCCGACAAACAATATAATTATTTTACCATTTCGTACATTTATATTTGATCAGTTCAATTTCTTATTTTTTTATTGTACTATTTAGAATTACTATTCCCATTACAATTTAGAATTACTATATTATACTATTTAGAATAATTCAGTGAAATGTTTTATGTAATTCAGAGTTAATCAAAGTTCCTCATTTCAAATACTAACTCCTCTCACCAGGTTTTTACTAAGTAAAATAGTAACTTTTAAGAAAACTTTAAAAAAAAAACTAATTTGTCAAGTCAATTGTTTCTGTGCCCGGTGGCTGAGTGGTAGCGTTCAGTGTGTCGATAAAACGAGTACCGAGCAAGCTTGGGAATTAAGAACTTGGAGTTCCGCATTCGGCTGACCACCCAACCGGAATATTTGCTCTTGCACCCCAAGAGCCGAAGGTCAAGAAAACTGAGATGGGCACAGTAGTAGGCCTTCGCCTTTTCTGGGCTGTCGCGCCACCGAGTTTAATTGTTTCTGTACTTTTTATTTCATTTGTCTGTTGATACTGCATCATTTAACATCTATTCCTTGTTTAGGTTCCCAATGACTTTCTATCAGATTCCTGTGTAGCCCCAGTGATTGAACCCAACTACACAAGTCTCCATGCATGGCTCATATCACTTGGCCTTCCTATGTACATGCAAAACTTCTTTGCTGCAGGTATCACTGAACTCTATCAGATAGCATCCTTAGGTATCGATGACCTCACACATTTAGGCATCCACGATCCATATCATCAGGTGTTCCTGGAGTCTGCTCTAGGTGTCCTATACATGAAGTTCCAGAGGAGGCCTCACACCTATACTCAAGGACATTCACTCTCATAATTATCATTAACTCTGTGACATTTTTTCAGTCCTAAAATTTTTCAAAAGAATAGGGAGGCTTGTTTATATTCAACATTGATGAATATAGGCAACTTGTCTATATTCAACAATTAAACTAGACATCATCTTCCCCCATAATGTTATTTTATTTGTAAAAAAACTGATGTACACTAGAGATTCTGAGAAACCTCACCATACATAGTAGTTATGAGAAGTAGAGCAGAGCTTGTACAAAGTATAACAATTTTGCAGTCTAGTCGTTAAAGACTTGATGCAAAAATTTCAAAAAAGAGGGTTCGCCATTTTTTTTTTTTTTTTTTTAAATATTAAGAAATTTGATGTGTTTTTATTTAAATCAGGTTTTTATTACTTTAAATCGGATTTTCTTGATTTTTTTAACGAGTTTAATTATTATTGAAATAATGTTAAAAATAAATTATAATATATTTCAAACAATGTTTCTGCATTAAAAGTTATTTTATAGTAATCGTAATACATTTAAATGTGTGATTCGAATGAATTGAAAATGAAATAGAAATTTATTCTAAAGGAGTAGAAATGTAAGAAGTTTGAAAAAACTTTTAATTTTCGGATTTTTGAGGATTATATAGTTTGCTCTAAATGCAAACCGTTCATTTTTTCCCCTCCAATTTTATAAATAATAGTTAAAAATTTAAACTTTTGGGATAGTTTTAAATGTCTGCAAATTATAGACCTTCTATGGTCATTAAATTTTATCTATTAATATTTGATGTAGTTGGAATGTATTTTATAAATTATGAGTTTGTTTTCATAAATTGTCAACTTTAGCAAGCCTTCTTATTCTTTTAAAATATTTTTTTCTTGGAGCTTATTTTGTTACAAAGTACTTCAAAAGAAATATTTATGTAAACTTTTTTAATCCAGATGAGCATAATGAATATGGTTTAATGTGATTCATAAAATAAACTTTTTTCCGAATTGATTTTCTAAATAAATTTATTTCAATGAGTACTTGCATACTATTTTTGAATTTAATTCAGCCATTTATAAAAAGTTTTCCACCAACATTTTTCAATGATTGTAAATGATGTAAAGTTTATTATAAATTTTCATCACTGTATAAATGCTGTACTTAAATTTTTATATTGCATTTATTTATTTATTGTTTTTAAACTACTTCGGCACCTGCAACTTAAAAGCAGCAGATAATGGTTTTTAATTGTGAATGACAATTTACAACTAAGTTGTTGTTCTTTATTGTGTTTAAAGGGTATTTTTTTTAAAATTGTTTTTAGTTAAACTACTACTACCTTTTTATCTTCTTATGTATCCTTTACATTCATTTTCAAATGTTCGCTTTAATTATTATTCTACATAGACAAATTTTTGCAAAAAGGATCTGTCAAATGATTATTCATTAAATGAGAAAAAGGAAAACCAGTTTGTTTGATTGGAAAGCAACCAGGTTCTATTGAAAACTGATTTCAGAACAGAAGATTAAAAGGCTGAAAGAAATAAAACTCTATAAGTGCTTCTCAATTCAAAGTACTATATTTAGTTTATAAGATATATTTGTATCAGAATTTACACCTAATAATCCGATTATATGGTCTAATTTTTAAATAAAAAAGTTTTTTGGACCATTTTATGCAACTTAACAAGTTTTGTCATATTATTAATTGATTTGAAAACATATTTTAGTAGCTATAAATAAATATAATTTTTTTTTTTGGTGCTAAATCCAATTTTACTCTTACCCTTTAAAAGTAATTTAAGATGTACCTAAATTTTGATTTTCTAATTATTTTTTATTTCTGTAAGGTCGATAAATCTGTTTCATAAACTTCAATATAACCTATCTTTACTTACATGTGAGAATTTCCTGTCATGAATAAATAAGATCATTAAATTTAATGCAATAAATAAATATAATTTTTGTTCTGAACTTAATAATTTTCTTACCATGTAAAAGTAAATCAAAATTATTGTTTTTATAATTTCCATAATGCAGATAAATTTGTCTCTTAAACTTCAATATAGGCTGCTGAATCTAATTATTTTCTTTCCCTATAAAAGTAAATAAAAATGTAATGATTGATTTCCTATTTATTTCTTATTTCTTTAAGGTAGATAAATCTGTCTCATAAACTTCCATATTCATACTTCACATATGAGAATTCTTTCTTGAATAAATAAGATTTATATTTTTTCATGCTTGCACTTAAAACTTTTTTTTGTATTTTTGGATCCTGCTGTTTGCTTATAAAGGCTAAGGTTTATTACGCAGTTAAATGAACTCAGAGCTGACAGTTTAACTTGTTTTCATTATATTTTGAAGATTTTTCAACCAAATTGTTTTATTACTTAGTTATAATACATGTGACTAACATGAAACAGCATAAAAAAATATTTGTGTTGCCAATATCAACAGAACAAACAACTGAACTTAGCTATCTTATTTATATTAAATATTATTCCATGTCAAAGTTCGTAAAATAATTTTATTCCCTTTGAAGTGAATAGCATTTATAGCTCTAGTTTTATTTATTATTTTTAAATTCAATAACTTTCTTTGTTTCTCTCAAAGCTATAGTTTATTGATCATTCGTAAAAGGAACCTGAATTCTGTTAAAAATTAAATGTTTTAAATTACAAGAATTCAATTGGGAACGATTCTTTGTTTGCCAAGTCTTGGGAAATGCAGTTTTAAAAAGGAAAGAAATTTGAAACATACAGTTTTGCAAATGTACAAAAATATTTTAGTTGTTAAGTAAATTCATCCGATACAATAGATGTAATTTATAATTTTAAATACAGTAACATTCTATTTTATTTTTCAAAGTTCTGGTTTATTGTTCAATCATAAAAAAAACTTAATTTTGTTAAAAATTAAATGTTTCTAATAACAATAATTCAGTTGTGAATTGATAATTTAGTTGTGTCTTAGGAAATACAATTTTAGGGGGAAAAATGGAATTTTTTTTAAATTTTGTAATTGCTCGTAAATATTTTAAACATTATTGACAAGTAATTCATCGTATACAATACAGATAATTTAATATTTATTTTTTGAAATACACTAACTTCCTTTTTTTATAGTTGTAATTTAATGATCATTTGTACAATGTGTTTGAAATCTGTTTAAAATAAAATATCAGTTTTAAATAACAAGTATTTAATTGTGAATATTCTTCATTGTTAAGTCTTGGGATATGCATTCTTAAAAAAAAGCGTACATAAATTGTGCACTTGCACTTAAATATTTTAAATGTTATTTGCAAGTAATTCATCAAATACAATAGTGCCAAGACCCTATTTTTATTGACATTTCTCTTTAATCTTATCAGTGCAATATTTGTCATTTTATCAATTATTGTGTATTCTTTTTAAGAAGATCTGATTGTGCAGTGTGTTGCTACAGTGTATAAATATCTAAGCACTGCTTTTTAAAAGCAAATTTAACTTTACGCACTGCTGATTTAATGAACTGATTTTATTATATGACAAACATTTTAGTGTCAAGCTGGCATAAATGTACTTAAACTAAAATTATATACTTATTTTCATTGTAATTAATGAATCTATGAGTTTGCAGTTTTGTTTTCTGTGATAGTTTTGTTGAAGTGTATGCTCAATGTGAATACATATGTATGTTTACAAATTTGTACACTACACAACACATTCCTGCTTTATGAATGAGGGAAATTTGTACAGTACATTCAACTGATGAAGCTTCGTACAGAGCTTTATTCTCTATGAATAATGTCACATTTGAAAAGTGCTATTCAAACCAATATTTGTTTAAAAAAATTTTTGCACCGCTTATATGTAGCTTGTGCGGCTTTTGTAGATGTGCTTTGTGAAATGAAAATTTATGTAAAAAAATGTATAATGTAATAAAATGCTACTAAACTATTTTTTGGTTTAATTTGTTACATATAAGAAAATGAGTCATGGTGGCTCCGGAGACAGGAATCACCGGGACCGGTTCGCCTTCTAATGAGTTGAACCAGGTTCAAATCCCAGCGATGTCTGGTCGATACGAATTCCGCATCCGGTTTGCACCGACCGCATTGCTGACGTAAAAAGGACCTCAGTAGTAGGCAGATGATGGGTTAGAGTTCCTTTGCTGTCAGGCTAGCCGTGGGAGGTTTTCTTCTTCATGTAACGCAAATGCGGAATAGTCCCATCCAAAAAGTCCTCCATGAAGGCAAATTTCTCCCAATACTTGATCCAAAAGTTTACTTGTCTTCTGAATTGGGTTCAAAGCTACAGAGTTGAACATTAGTAGTCCCTACACCCAAAAATCGGATCGGCTGTTCAAGGACGGACATAAAATAAAATATAAGAAAAGTAATTGAGTGTCTATTGTGGATGTAGAAAAATACACGAATAACTTTTGGTTTAATGATCGGACGTTCTAAAACTCAATGGTTGAAGGGGGGTGACCTCAAATGTGCTTAATTACTTAGGAGAGGTAAACTCGCTTCTTTCTGTTACCCTTGATCTTAAAAGTCGATTTTGTTCATAAAATAAATTATGAAAGCACATTTTTATATAATTATTCATATAATTTTGACTGTTTACGTCATTTTATATCCCAAATAAGTTACCGATAGAGTATGCCATTTTGAGCGTTTATTGTTGAACATTAAAGCTCGCTTGCTAAATTAAAAACTAATTTTTCCACTTTGTGCCTTTCCTGCCCATTTAACTTTGTTCTGCACCAAAGTGCGCACTCTTACTTTTAATCTAATGACTGGATTTTCACATATTATAGTCCAATCTTAGGTGTATCAAATCGAATTCGTTAATCATTGTTTCTTTTTTAAATTGAGTTCAGTAGGAAAAGCTGTCTTACGTCATTGAATTGTATAATAAATGTTTTATACCAATAAATATTTTATGAATTCATCAACAGTCTATCAATCAATCACGATAGAAGCGTGTGATCGAAGAAAGCATTGATCACCATAATAAGTTAAACCCATAATCACGTGTTATTCATCAGTGCTATCATGTAATAAATATGAAAATAATTTAAGATAAATTTTAACTTTTAGTCTGCTTTTTCAACGACTGAACTGCCATGCTACTTTTCAATCCCAATCTTGATGTAATAGTGCAGAGATCTCGTCTACAATGACTTTTAGTTTATTTTGATTATACTTTAAAATTTAGCCCTAAGGCCACCCTAGTCGAGAAGTTCCGCCGTTTCATCAAACGAGAGGAAACGGGTAAACAAAAGCTTATAAGTCGTATTCATAATGAACTCACAAGTCTGTATATGTATCTGTAATTGTAACTAAATAAGTCAAACGTCGTGCCTCAGAGAAAAATATCACTGAAAATTTCCCTCTCACGATTTTTTTTTTTCTATTAAAAACTATAAGGTAATTAGGTACTTTATTCACATCGTAATTTAGCTGCACAATGGGCTATTGGCGACAGTCTTAGGACATGCCCAAAGACATACCATCGAAATTTTGATNTCTATGTACGTAAGACACTTGACTTCGGTGATCTTCTGGGAACCGTGTCTTAACGATCAGTCCACTGCGGGACTGATCGTTAGACATTTCAATCGTTCATTAGTTCCAAAACGAATATTTGCGAGCATTTTAAAACTATTAAATGTTGATATGCTAATCTAACTAGAGAGTAATGGAGACAAAGTACTTAAAATGTTTTGCCTCAGAAAGGCAAAAGAATAAATCCCGGAAGGATAAAAATAAAAAACGAAGCCGTTTTCCCAAAACTTTAACGCTGGTACAGCCTTTACTTCTAGGTTTTGTTCCTTGAATCTCGATTCGGAACTTTTCACCAAAACTCTTTAGAGAGTGGGCTATAACTATACAGTAATCATTGACGTGCTGCTGTCTTTATTGTGTGCTTACCGTTACTTGCATTGAGCATAGAAGCCTGCATGTTTTATTTTACACGGTGTTGAAGAGCCGATCCAATTCTGAGTTTACGACTGAGGATGTTCAACTCCGTAGCCTTATAATTTTGAACCCATCCCTGAAGACAAGGGAACTCTTGGATCAAGCATTGAGAGAATCTAGTCTTCGTGGAGAACTTTTTGATGGAACTGGCCGCATTTGCATTACAAGGAGAAGAAAAACCACGAAAACCTCCCACCGTTAGCCCGATGGCAGGAGTGTTCTAACCCATAATCTGACTGCCCTTTGAGGATATATTACCTCAGCACTGTGGTGGGTCGGAGCAGAATTCGTGGGGATTCGAACCTGTTTCACCTCATTGTAAGGCGAACGCTTTATCCCTTGACTGCGGCCGAAGCCTGCATGTTTATGAAAAGCTGTGACTTAGTTGGAGGTCAGTTAGGCTAAAGAAATGGGGCCTTTGGTCAAATGGTATCAACAGCCAAACGCTCTGTACCGTTGAGTAAGTGGGTTTGAATCCCACCGTAACCCTGGATGTATCTTCATGCCGCCTTTCTCCAAATTGTGCTACTGTTCTTCTGCTTGACAAAGGCTTATACACCTTACTTATGTAATTGAGCACATGAGCCTGCATATGTGTGAGCGCAAAAATTAAAATAAAAGGCTAAGAGTTTGAATGAAAACCAGTAACTTAGATCCTCATTTTGCAACCAAGAGAATCTATGATGCTGCCTTTAATACGCTACATTCAAATTGTTAAAAGATTTAGTAAGTTGTAAGATTTATTTATTTATTTAATTGAAAGATTTATTTATTGTCACACATGCAGACTTGTGTGTGCTCATTCCAAAGAGTGACTTATAAGCTCCTGTCGAGATGAAGAACAGATAACATAAATTAGAAAAGATACTTTAAGTGCATAGGGGGAAATTCTAACTCGCTACCTTCACGCTACTAGGCTTTAGGTGGAACTTTGCAATTGTTGTAGTTGTAATTTATTTATGTCGCCATAGAGCTGCATGATGGGCTATTGACGATGGTTTGGGAACAATCCCTGAGGATGATCCGAAGCCATGCCATCACAATTTTGATCTTCTGCTGGGGGATGGCACCCCCCACTTTGATAGCCCGACCACTAATACCGCACACCCTCGGTCCCATCTTATGCTGACCAAATTTGTCACCTCCCCGCACACTAGCCGCAGCTGTGATGCTTGACTCCGGTGATCCGTTGGGAACCGTGTCTTCTGGATTAGTCCACATCGGGACCTTTGGTGGAACGATGATACTACTTGCAATACGGATCCTCGTTAAACTCTTCTACCGTGAAAGGCTTGACTTCGCGAGCATGTTTTTTAGGGCTACCAAATGGAGGAGCCATCCTCTCCGCAGAGGATCAAAATTGTGATGGCAGTTGCCAATAGCTTATAATGCAGCTCTAGTGCGACGTAAATAAATTACTTCTACTACTGTTAAGGAAACCTCCCCCGGCCTAAACTCACCCTCCAAACGCTGTGCGAAGCGTGGAGGTGGCTGTATCGAATACCACCATATCCCTGGACGTTTACTGCTTGTTGTCCTTTTCTGAGTTATTCCATTTGCTCTTCAACTTGACAAAGTTTTATAAGCCTAAATTGAGCACACAAACCTGCAAATATATGTAATTTCACCATAGCAAAACTATAAAGCCTAGTTAAAAGATCATTACTTTAAGGGGCCTCCCTGGCCGAGCGATATTGTTCTTCAAACGCTGTGCAAAGCGTGATGGTAGTGGGTTCAAATCCTGCTGTAACCCTAGCTGTATCTTTGTGCGCTCCTTCTCTGTATTGTGTTGTCCTGTAGTGGACTGATCGTTAAGACACGGTTCCCAGCAGATCCTCGAAGTCAAGCATCACTGGCTGCGGTCAGTGTGTGGGTGGGTGACCTCTTGGATCAGTCTGCCTAGGGACCGAAGATGCGCTGTATCGGTCCTCGTTAAACTGTTCTACCTTAAAGTGCTCGACTTCGTGTGCAGGTCGTCGAGCAACCGAAGCGAGGGTGCCATCCCCTCTGCAGAGGATCAAAATTGTGATGGCATGTCTTCGAATCATCCTATGGGATATTTCCCAGACTGTCGCCAATAGCCCACTGTGCAGCTCTAGTACGACGTAAATGAACTACAACAACAACAACAATATCTGTATTGTGCTATTTGGGCTTCTATTTGAGAGAGGTTTACAAGCCTAAATTGAGCACACAAGCCTGCAAATGTATGTAATTCGAATAAACCAATCATTACTTTAACTCTGTTATTTTGGAGTTGAAGTAGAAATTGTGAAATAGTGTGTGCCAAACACTTTTGTTCTGATGTAGTTTCCCATTCATTTGCCGCTCAATTTCTATTGCAGTTAGCTAGTTGTATTCTTTACTAGTTCAATTGATTTGATAGCAAATAGTCATGAATATGCCTGAAGTTGATGCTTCCAACTCTGAGCTTGGTCAGGAACTGTATGTAATTTTTTTTTTAAATTCTTAAATAAAAGTTAAACTTGTTTTTTCACATCCACTTAAAAAATTGTTTAAAATTAAAGAATAGTTTTCATACGATTTTATAAGCTCCAATTTGGTTATTTAAAACTAATTATTGGTTATTATTTACTTTGAGGTAGCATGTTCAAACTTACCAGTTTTTTCTACAATTCCTGTCTTCTGACACTATTTTCATTTAAGTTTTAAAAGTTTCTTTTAAATCTTTATTGTGAGTACTGAACATTGAGCAAAGAAATAAACAGACCACCTGAATAGCTTTTCATCTAATGACCGCATCTTAATGTTCTATGATTTAATGTTAATGGTTGAAGAAGAAGCATCAAATTTAAAGAACAAAATTTCTTTAAAATGTGATTTCTCAGAAACTGTTAGACCTATTTTGCTCAGACTTTGTATTTTGCCATGCAAATAATAATAATAATAATAATAATAATAAATAGAATAAGAAATCTTTAAAATGATTTTAAAAAAATTGTCCACCTTAAAATTCGAAATTGTTCCGACTATTACTAAATAGAATAATAAAAAATAAATATTTACTGAAAGTTTTTTTTCTCCGTAAAATTATCTTTAAATGAACGCATTTTATAATTGTGTGCAAAAATGTTTAAATTCGCTTAAACGGTTCTCGAAATATGAGAAAATACACAAAAAGNTTACTACACGAATAGACAAGTTACTTAAAATATATACAATAATTAGCATTTTTAAGGTCACCTCAAACCATTAAGTTTCAGTCCTAGAACCTGAAGATACTATAATTAGATCAAAAGTTATTAAGAGTGGTCCGTTTATTTATTTTTGTGCACTGTACATCCAACATTTACTAATAGCATCGCATTATAGCAAATATCTGTTTAAAATGTTTCAGAAATTTCATCTCGATGATTTTTTTTAAATAAATGATTGGCTATATTTTATTGACTATATCGAAACTGAATACTCTTATTAAAGTGTGCGAATCTGTAAGCACGAGAACCTGTCTGTACTTCGCAGATACTATAACAATCCCTCTGAATTCAAAAATCCAATAAGGCAAAATTTCAGAGAAAAAATTCAAACTTTAAATGAATAATCATTGTTATGTTTGTATCGAAAATGGTAAAATTTGCTTTTGTGATCTTACATGACAATTGAATATGAGTAAATTAGTACAATCGTTAGAATATTTCTAGTAATAGCAACGTTTTGTTTTAAACTTGTTTTTCCGCACCCTAGCAAATCATTATTTCAGACTCGTGTATAGATATTTATTTGTAGACAGTTATTTTAAGTAGTATATATATATATATTACTGTGAATGACCGAAATTGTTTGTTATTGACTTTTACCGGTGAATGTCGACTATCACATAGTCACTTGGATAAATATCCGAAATATATAGGTCTAATTAAGTGCCACTACCCGGTATACCTAGACTGATGTTGTTTTAAGGTTCAGTGCCACTGTATACATTTGCCCGGTACTCCAAACACTGATGTTTCTATTTATATAACATCAGTAGATATTAAAACATAATATCTGCTAATAATAGTGAATAAATATAATATCAGCGAATAAATTAATATCAAATTGGTAATAACAAATATTTCGGACATTCAAGAAAGAGATTGTTGACATTCACTGGTGAAAGTCTGCATTCTCTTTACTTTGGTCATTCGCTGTAATTGTTTTAAACAAACATTCTAAGTATTGTATTGCTATGGATTTATTTATCAACGGCTTTACGTAGTTTATTTTTTACAGAAAATAAAATATCGAACAACTCTGCCAAAAACCGCGTGTTTTTGAGTTTTTTAGAAATTGAATTCTGTAATCTTACATTTATTTGAAAAAATTTCACGTGTAAATTTTGAATTAAATTTAAACTAATAAATGTAAAACAAAATATTATCCAGCTTTCAAGAGTTCGTCGCTACTATAAATCTGAGGTTGTCTGCTATTATGGAAAAGAATAAAAATATTTTCTAACATTAAAGAAATGATTTTACTCTAATCAGTATGGTTGGGGAGTTCAAAAACCCAGAACCAAACGGTTGACCTCAGACCTTTAGTAACCCATCTTCGTATCCATAGTAGCTGAGAGCAGATCTTGTGAAGAATTTTTATTAATTTTTGTTAACAATTTATGGCTTAAAAATAATTAAAGTTTTCGCTTCACGCACGTTTTTAATTTTCTCCAACGAAAAGGAGTCTTAACGAAAAATACATTAAAATTAAGGTTTTAAATTTAGTCAAACTGTTACTGCAATCAAAACATCTGGGAAAAACTGAAATAATATTAGTAATATACATGTTGTGAAATTTCAAAATGAAAACTTTAAAAAAAATTTGGAAAAACTGATTTCTTTTTGCGAAGCTGTGCAGTTTCTTTTTGCGAAGCTGTCCAGTTTCTTTTTGCTCTTGTGCAATTTATTTTTTTAATAAAATAAATACGGAATTATAATGCATATTTTAGAACTGAAAATTATATTTTTTACGCTTGTTTTGAAAATAACTTTATTTTTAGACCTTGTATTGTTTACCATATGTTGAAAAATTCTTCAAAAGAAATGTCTAGAATTAATATATTAAGTTTTTAATCGTTCGAAAAGTTCACTTTTTGAAAAAGCCATACACTTACAAAAAAGGGTGTTTTTGAGGTTGACAGGTGTAAAAAAAATACACCCGGGGCAGAAAATGAAGTTATATTGAAAATGAGGTTAATGAACAGAAAATAACCTCATTTACACCTCTCAAAATCAACCTCATATATAACTCAGAAATAATTTTAGTTGAGATCCGGTGAAATTATTCAAACCTCAAATATAATTATTTGGTTGAGGTGTAGAATAAATGACCAGCCCATCTTAAATACAACCTCCCTGAGCTAGTTGCTCCAAAGTAGATTTTCATCAACCTCAAGTGCGAATGAGACTTTTTGATACACCTTGATTGTACACCTTAGGAGGTTGAACTTTTAAGGTTGTTTTTTAAATAAACTCAGTGCCGGATTAAGCGTAGGCGGGGCCCTAGGCCATTCAAATTTTTGGGGCCCTTAGATTAAATTTTTTTCCCGTATGTTTTTTATTTACTCAAATACAAAAGTATTTATATATCTTTTTATTTAAGAAAGCATATTTAAAATTAAAATAAATAATAAATTAAATATTACTTTATTTTGTTAAATTAGAACTAAAAAATACTCATAAATTTTATAATCATAACATCTATATTTGAATATTTTTTTTAAATCATTGTTTTTCTTAATTTTTTAAAATTTATTTTCAAGAAATCCATCTTAAGGGAGCCCCTGGCCAGGCCTAATGGGTAATAAAGCACTGAATAAACTTCAAATAAACCTCAAATCTACCCTGATACGCCAAAACAGCCTCAGCACCTTAAATTTTTTTAGTGGTATGTTTGAAAAACTGACCATCACTGTTAAAATAGTAGCAAAATGCCCTCATTTAAACCTTTCTGTCATATAGTGCTATCAAATTGGATTATAATGTTTTTTTAATTTTCAGGTCGGGAAGTTCAGGTTGGGTTCTTACCTACCTCCTAGAGATAAGGAATGACCTATTGAAAATCTCACCTATATTTAAAGTTCCAATAGAATTGAGCATGTTTTTGTTTATTGCAGTCAACATCTACAAAAGCACGTACGTCATTTACTACACGAATAGACTGATGCTAACTTTTTTAACCGGTATTACTATAGTTGCATTGATCCTTGAGAGGACAGCGGTTGTGGTAAATCCCTCGCACCTATGGATCAACGTTGCTCTCTGTATCATTTTACCTCTTCTGATGAGGTGTAATAGAGCAGTTGCAGCGATTTTTACATCCGTCTTCATTTCCTATTCAACACCACTGGCCTTTGCCACAGACTTGTTTTTTATCTTGTGCGTCTGCTTGAAAAGCAAAGGCAGCATTCCGTCAGAGTTTTACACAGTGAACCTTGCCTACATCGGAATTTGTTGCTTAATTTCGATATCTCTTAATGATCAGGTAACGACTGCGTCTGCCATAACAATAAGTTCTGTATACTTCATTGTTTTTTATGGTTTATTGACATTGCTATTTATGTATTTTAAAACAGGATACAGTCGGTGGTCTGAACCTTTATATGTTCAAATTGAGTTAATTTCCTACCTGCTATTTCCTGCGATGTTAGATATTTTCTGTAATCTTACATACGGTGGAAAGTTAACTTACAGTATTTCATATTTAAAATCTCTGTAAACCTTGTATAATCTAGATTTTTCTATCATGCTGCTTTTTTTCTCTAAAATTTATGTAAATAGAATTTAAAAATAAAATTTTTGAGAATTTTTAATGCACATGTTTGTTTTTAAAGCTTTTATAGCTATAAAAGAATTCCATCTAACAAATTGGATAATGTATAATAAAGCGCAAATAATATAAGAGGCGGTTTGCCATTTCTGCACTTAGTGGCAAAAATTATATACTCGTAATGGAAATCAATAATGGTGAGGGATTAAAAGCATCAAAACTAAATTTTGCAAATTATACAAAAGATGGTCAGAGGCGATTAATAATAACTTTTATGTTTTGGTTTTGATAGTTTGTTTCCATATATTGTCCTCGATAATATTTCGTCCGACTTTAATAGTATTAGTTTTTCCGTCCATAAATTTTGATTTCTAAATGCATTGATGCTATTTTGACTTTAAATATTTTAAAATACATGGAAGGAACTATAAACCACACGTATGCAAAGAAGAGAGATAACTTTCAATAAAATCATAATGGCCACTAAGGTGTGAGGCATTATGCAAAAAGAAAAGACATCGGAGGGAAAATACGCATGCAATATCAAGAGAATTAGACTCCTGTATTCCTTTTGCACCAACAGTGTGCGATTCACCTGAGAAACTACATGATCTGAGAATGTACAGATGATACTAGAGAAGATACTATGAGAAGATACTATGAGAAGATACTAGCACGAGTATTTAACAGAATGTAGTGAAAAGGGTACCTCTTAACGCAGTATGCGAAAAAATTGCGTTTGTGAATGAGAACCTGATAGGCGAGATTTTGCGGGTAAAAACCTATCTGGTTCTTGCTCAAATTTACGAATTCGCGTGTGCGACTGTTTTTCATGCAGTGAGAATGGCCCGTACATACAAATTTGAATTTTTTAACATACGTAATTCGCATATTTTTGCACGAATAGGCATTCTGGGGAGAAGACTGGTTCCATGTCTAGAGTCTCCCTCTCCTCCTCTGCACTAATGTATGGGAATGTATTACGATGTTTCCCCTTCCAAATTATTTTTCGTTTTTAGCTTATAGATATATCTTCGTGCTGTTCTTCTCTGTATTCTGCTACATGTCCTTCTAATTGACAAATGTTTATAAGCCTTAATTGAACCACACAAGCCTGCAAATGTATGTAGTAACAATAAATAAATAAAAACTTGATGTGTATTTAGTGCGTATATTTTTTCACCAAGATTTTCTATTTCCTCAGACACTCTTAAATATTATTTTGATTGACTCGACTATGCCACTTTTCTATTCCATAAGTTGCTTATACAAGCTAGATCGTGCAGATCATAGATTCTCAACCTTTTTAACGTTGCCGCCCCCTAAAGGAGCAAAAAACATTTCAACACCCCCTTTGTGAAAATCCAGTTATTTAGAGCATGGTGTGATTTGTTTGGTTTTTTTTAAAAAAAATAATGTATACATTAACTCGATGCTTTTCTTACGGCAGATAATCGCAGTCTATTAATTTAAATAGACACGGTAATGAAAAAAAAATATACGACATAGAAACGTATGCTTAAAAAGAATAATTTATTGTTAATTAGATAATTAAAAAACACCCAAAATACTTTTTTTACACTAAAAAGTAGTATCAAGGAAGCTTTAATTTCTTAACGTTGGGTTCAATACTTTTAGTGAAGTGAAGACGCAAGTCTCTTCGTTGTACAATTTCGAGTTGATTTCTTCTTTTTTTTGTGTGACAAGACCCGTAACAGCGCTGAATCCAAGGTAGGAGGAAGGGAAGGCATTTAAAGAAATTTTTAGCGATATTCCGCAGTCCAGGGTAGAGGAGACTGGTGTTACCTTGAAGCCAAAATTTTGGGGGACGATCACCACTTCAATGTTTCATAAGTTAAAAATTCGACCAATTCCTCATAAATCTGATCCTCTGCTGCTTCAATATTCCCAAAAGGGTTCATAACCCAATAACCCATTGAGGGAACAAAACATATTTAAAACGGTCAGAAAAGTCCAAGTGCAAAGAGACAAGGTATTGACAATATTCTTGTGCATCATTAAAGGGAATTTCACCTGCTTGGCTAAACTCATTCCAAACGAAATTTTGCCTCCACAAAATGAGTTGTTTCAGAAAGGCAGAAATGACTGATTTTGTAGGGATCAAATTGAGCTCGTCGTCTTGAAATTGTAAATTAATGCAATTTAATTTTACGAATAAATCCGCCAAAGTCTTTCCTAAATTCTAGCAGTCTGTTTCTCAGAGCTACATCTCTGTTGTAGAGGAACTGACAAGCACAGAATCGAAAAGATTCCAAAACCTATTGAGACAGGCTCCTTTGGAAAACCAGCGAATCTCGGTGTGTAGTACCAAAGCGATTGAATTCTTCATCATATGCAGTCTGAATAATCAACCGTTGAGAGTATTACTGTGAATTTTGTTCACAGCAAATATGACATATTACAATAACGGATGCAAACGGTTGCTGAGATTTTTTCCTATTAAATGCTATCTGTGAATCACTCAGTGAACAGCTCAAATATCTGGTATTTTCATTTTCAAAAGGGCGATAAACCCACGATGTTGACCCTCCATTGCAGTTTGTCGTTGTTGCAGTTCATTTACGTCGCCCTAGAGCTGCACAATGGGCTATTGGCGACGGTCTGGGAAACATCCCTGAGGATGTTCCGAAGACATGCCATCGCAATTTTGATCCTCTGCAGAGGGGATGGCACCCCCGCTACTGTAGTCCAACGACCTGCACGCGAAGTTGAGCCCTTTACGGTAGCACAGTTTAACGAGGACCAATACCGCACACAGTGTGATTAAGAA